AACACTTTTACTGCTAAAAAATTTATTGTTAAAATACGCGGTAAAAAATGTTTCAATCTGCTACATACTACTAATGGACTGCTCATTCTACCAAGTGGCAAAGTTTTTATAACATCAAGAAGCAATGGTCGCTGATATTACGATTTGCACATATTTTATTGTTCATAACAGGATGCATCCTTTCTAAGGTCAACACCCAGTTTGACAACACCCTTAAAAGCGCTAAAAATTAATGCAGCTGACTATCAGAACAGACTATTTTCCGTGTCCCAAAGCTCTTAGTTTCCATAATAAATGTTTTTTTTTTATAGGAGAAGGGGGCAAACGAGCAACAAAGCGTTTAATATTACTGATCCGACGCCCATGGACATCCGCAACGCCTTTTAGGAAGTGTACGCTTTTATCTTGAAGGCCCCTAAGTCGTAACTGTTTGGAAATATCGCTGAGGACAGGGTATTCCACAACGCGGCTGTGCGAGGTAAAAAGTTACGCGAAAATCTCGTCGTTGTGGAATGTTATTGTAATTCTGCCTTAATTATTGTTGTGTATTTGACAACCGTTACAAGAGATATATTATTGTACGTCACTGTTGTTGTTATCTTATTACTAGGGCAGTGATTGATAAAAATAATAATATTTTTTGGTACGCCGATACTATCAGTCCCCGACGTGGGTTTTTATATATATTATATACTTCATCGATGTTGCTACACTAGTAAAAGAACTATGCCTTAGTAAAACGAAAATATTTCGATAAGAAAGTAAATCTTCTTTTAAAGGACATTAATCTTCTTTGGTATAGATCAGTGGTTCCCAAACTTATTTTGTCTACTGCCCACTCTGAGCATAAATATTTTTTTGGCGCCCCCACATTTTCACATATTTAAAAACCACTATAAATTCAAATAAAATTAATTATTGTTACCTATATATGTATATTAACGGAGAATACTAAACGAAACTTTTACTATAACCTGCAACTTGAGATCTGCAGCGCCCACAAGGGGGCGTTATCGCCCACTTTGGGAAAGACTGGTATAGATAGATCAACCGTACCAATATTTCGAATTCCGATGCAGAAGAAACATAAAAACACTAATTTAAAATGCACTTAGCCTTATCCGAGAAAAACATTTCGAAATAAGACTAGGAAGAATTTTAAGACCTTTACTATGATGTGATTATTTATAATTGTATACACAAATCTAAACGATAATGTTTTCTAAATTCCCATAATGATGTATAAAGCAAAAAAGTTTACAAGAACATTGTACGTGTCCTAGCAAACAGTTTAGATGAGAAAAGTTCGCGCCGAAGCGGACGGCAAAATACGGTGCGGGGACAAATTGCTTTACTAACACAACAGATTGCAAACTTTTGTTCGACGGAATGGCACAAAAACTGAGTTAAACCGTGCGTACCGTGTTATTGCAGATCCTTAATTATATTTCAATACTTTATTACCAAAAAACTTCATCATTTCATCATTAAAATCTATTATAGCCGTAGATTACATCTTCTGTACATATATTATGAGTGATAATAATTCGATGACTGAGTTAGCAACAATTGTAAATAAATAAATTGAGACGTAAAGCAGTTTTATAAATAACACTTTAAATAAAAACTGTTAAAACATTTGTTTTTTAAACGTAGACGTAGACGTAGCAGTGGGCCTAGTAGTAAACGTAGTGATAGGCGTAGACGCAGTGGTCGACGTAGCAGTAGACGTAGAGATAGATGTTGACATACACCCAAGATTTATAATGTTAATTATAGGTAAGACAAATTGTAATTCGCAATTACAATAATTTATAAATAAATTTTGTAATTTTGAAAGCAATGTTTTTAAAAGAATTAATCTTGTCAAATTAAATCAGCTTGTGGTCAAATGATATACATATTTAATTACATTATCAAACCTGTTATCTTAATCCTTTAAGATTATATATTTAGGTACTGATTTTTTTATATCAATAGCTCTTATCGTTCTATTTGCGATACAACAGATTACTGACTGAATAATTGTGCAAAATAAATTTGAATTTGCGAATGCCAATATAATTTTTTTAGAAGATAGTGAACTAACCTCAGAGTGAATAGGCATTTGCAACAACCTAATAAATTGCAGAGGTGTTGCTTAAGAGGAGTAGTTAAGCGGAAAAATATATAACTTCAATTTTTATTTTTGCAATCCAACGATGAGTCAGAGTACGTCCAATCAAATAATTTGAGTAACAGATTGACAATTTAAAATTTGACTTTTGTTCATATCCACTGATAAGATCTACTTAAAATTTAAATAAGTAAAGATTAGATTCTTGATAATAAACAAAACGATATCATATCTACAGTAGCTGATTGATAACAATCAATCTTGATAAATGACCGCACGATCGTATAAAACGAAAATCTGACCTTTCCGGGATTTTACTGGCCTATGCGAGATTACAATGAAGTTGTGGTTTACACTTTCGTTATTTATAAGCGGTAAGACACCTTTTCTATCTTTAATTTACATTAAAACTAGCCGTTGACCACGACTCCGTCTGCGCGGTATTAAAAAAAACTAATTAGTAGTCTATGTTCTATATGTATGCCAAATTAAGTTGAGATTCGTTCAGCCGTTTTGTAGATACCTTCAAACAAACATCCATCCATCCAAACATTCGCTTTTATAATATTACTATGATATATTTTAAATAATCATAGAATGGTAATTGAAAAAATTGTCAGTAAATAACAATTATTATCGAACTATTCAACTTGAGTGTTTAATAGCTGAGAAAAAAACGGTAGTAAAAATGTATGTAAAAATAATTTATTTTTTAGGTTACGTTGCTTTGCCGTCGTCCGTGTATAATGAAGTACCTTATCAACGTTATTTAAACTTTCCCGATGCGGAAGGCATACTTCAGACAATTGATTTAGAAGCACAACCAGATTTTGAGCTTCTAAATGAAATTGAAAATGATTCCGCCAACAACCTTTATTTATTATTCACACGGTATGAATTCACAATATTTCTGTAAAGGTGAAATAGCAAAAATTCTATGAATGCAAATCCGCTACACACGATCAATTTAAACTGCACAGTTTTAACTTTAACAAAAACAACAGGATACAGTTTTCAAAAGATTTATTTATGCATTCGAACAGCATCAGTTCAGCAATGTAACATAATTATACTATTTTTCATCCCAGTGCAAATCCCACAACCCCTCAAACGTTGGTCATGGACGATGCTGACTCAATAACTGCATCAAACTTCAATCCCGAACTTCCCACGGTCGTCATCGTTCACGGATGGCTAAACAATCAAAATACTGGACTCAACTCTGTTATAAGAGATGGTAATTTCTATTTAAAAAATTTATATACGGCAATATAAGGCAGAAATAATTATTCCTCGAGAATAATTTTAATTATTTCATTATTGTTTTTAGCACATCTTCAAAAGGCGGATTGCAACGTGATCGTAGTAGACTGGGAGAAACTTGCCGGTTCTGATTACGTCACAGCTTCGTTCGGCGTGCCCGCAGTGGGTCAAGGCTTGGGGAGATTTTTGGCATTTTTGAACTCTGTCACTGAGGCACCATATTCGTCCATGCATTTGATTGGTTTCAGTCTCGGTGCCCACATCGTAGGTAACGCTGGAAAGGAACTAGGAGGGCAGGTCGCTCGGATCACAGGTAACAATACACACATATTGTTGACGGATACACGAAGATCGAAACCGACGTATACAAATTTCTATGCTTTGTAAATGAATACATATTTATGCAGCTGACATGAATAACGGCAGCCTGCTGATAATTTGATTCTAAATCTATGATGTTAATGGCATCGTTTATTATTTCAGGTTTAGATCCTTCTGGCCCACTTTGGACTGCTAATCAGAATCGTTTGAATGCTTCTAATGCCGTCTATGTAGAGGGTATTCATACTGATGGACCTTCTGGTGTTAATCCCACCTATGGATTTGGTATCGGTATCCCGATTGGTACTGCTGACTTCTTCCCTAACGGTGGTTACTCCCAACCTGGCTGTTTGACCAGTATCTGTGACCACAATCGATCATGGGAACTGTACCGTGCTAGTGTAACCTACAACCATCTAATTGGACGCAAATGCTTCAATATGTTGCAAATGTTCATGAACATATGCAGAGGAAGTACTGTCCACATGGGTAATGACAATTTGACAAAATCGGAGTAAGTAGATACTTTTTCCCAATTTTTTTTGATTAAAAACTTATTGAAAATGACGTCATAAAAATTCAATTTTCTTTACAGATCTGGAATATTCCGCTTGGACACAGGATGGAGATATCCGTATTAATTTCATACCGACTGATATGACATAAAGAATGTAACAAATTTAGCAGAAGAATTTTGTAGTTTTTTTATTTTCTATGTTTCCAACAAAATCTTCCTCTATCTTAGGTGAGGTCAAGTTAGTTAGTAAAAGATAGACAAAGCGTCAAATATTGGCTTTATCTAGTTTCGTGATACTCGGGGGAATCCTGGAATCAGGTTATTGTGGTCAAATCAAGGTTCGTTTGAGTCCGATTGCTGTATTAAGCATCTAGCCAAACGATGTTAGAGTTTGGCTATCTTCCAGCGTGGAAACATAATGAAATAACGCTGTCTATGATCCCGTAGGGCCCTTAAACCTTAGTTTCTCCTAGATACGTAATGTGACTTTGTACTTGTTTGAATGTGACTTTGTACATCAAGTACCGTGTAAGGATAATATCTACTCTAGTAGTAGTAGTAGCCATCGTTACGATAAGGTAACGGAAAGGTATAACTCTTTTCAAATATCTTGGCGGCCCAAGGTCATTGGCGCGCTACGCAGTTCTCTCCCCCGCATCCAATTACGACCAGCTACCTAAAATTATATTCTGCGCAGCGATTCGTATGAAGATAAGGACCGCCAAAATATTTGTAAAAAATTGTACCTAATAAACACAAATAAAACAAAATTAAAATAGATTCAAGAATATGCAAAAACTATTAAGCCTTTATTCATCAGTCGAAAACATATGCAATTAGAATGGATGTCTTCTGCCGGTATTAAGACGATACAGGCCAGATCTGAAACAAAATAGAAATTACGTGATTATTTTTTTCGATGTCAAAAATTCAATTATTCCACAATACTTCAGAGACAAGAATACGCAGATAGGAAAGTGTTAAGACAATCTAAATGTAACTAAAAAAAAATTCTAATTACTAAAACTTACCCAGATTTGTTTAGAATATCATTGCCCATATTCAATCTTGAACCACTGCACGAATTAGAGTTGACTTGGTTCATGTTGTTGCATCGTACACCGACAAGATGGTTATATGTGACGGTCGCAGCGAATAGTTCCCAAGAACGATTGTGGTCACAAATACCAGTTCCACATCCAGGTTGTGATTTTCCACCGTTAGGGAAAAAGTCGGCATTACCACATGCTGCTCCGATTCCCAGTCCTGCAGTACCTCCGTCCGTGTGTATACCCTCGACATAAACACCATCACTAGCTCTAAGGCGGTTTGAGTTGTTACTCCACAAAGGTCCAGCTGGGTCCAATCCTAAAATATTTTATGGTTATGAGCAAATTTACTAAAACACATGTCTCAAAGTCTAAAATGATATTTGCTAGTGAATTATTATTGTTACTTGCATCAATTTCAAGAAATAGAATAGATGGATACTTATCCTACGTACCAGTAACACGAGCTGCTCTTCCTCCAATTTCTCTGCCAGCGTTTCCGACAAGATGTGCTCCCAAACTGAATCCAATCAAGTGCATGGTATTATACGGCGCTCCTGCTACACGGTTGAGGAAAGCCAAGAACTGTCCCAGCCCACGGCCCACTGCAGGTACTCCTCTCACTGCGGTCGCGTAGTCTGAAGTCGCCAGTCTTCTCCATTCCATGATAATAACGTTGACGTCACTTTTTGCTAAGTAAGCTGTAAAATACAAAAAGATTTTATAATGGTATATAAGTGTATAGTGCAGTTATAATAGAAATGGGAAATAAATTATGAAAGATATTCACTTACCATCACGAATGACATCATTTAAGCTAGATTTTTGATTGCTCAGCCATCCGTGGACGACGACAACGGTGGGTACGCGCCCATTGAAGTGAGATGACGTAACTGAGTTGGCATTGTTAATAACTAATGTTTGAGCGTTTCTGCGATTCCGTCTGTGAACATTAAAAATTTGTATACATACTAAGAGTTCCTAGAAGGAAAGAAAAGGACCTTCACGGCTAGTTTTGATAGATTTTCGCTTAAGCTTAGTTAAGCCTATTGAGATTTTATTATGAACAGTGTTTATACATACCTGGTATAAAGAAGATACCGGTTGTTAGCTGGATTTCTATTAATTTCTTCCAGAAGTTTCATGTCGGGTTCTGCTTCTAGATCCACTGTGTGCATTACACCATCTCCATCGGGGAATTCAATGAATCGAGGATAAGTCGTTTCCTCTTGTAACATTGGCACTGCTGTCACGTAAGCTGAAAAATTTAAATTGCTAACAATATTGCGTCCATTAACATCACAATGTGAAACAAGTAAACACACGTCTTCAGGTTTCTTTGGTTTGTTAATCTGAATAGTTTACATTTCTTGTTGTTATATTGGTTAAGGAAAATCATTCGTCATCAAATGAAATAGAACTGTTAAACATCAACAATCTCTAATCTATGCATTAATATTAGTATATTAGACATACTAGGAATTGGTGGTCGTGGTCTTTTTGAATCTTGGTCATAATTGATCTATTTCTTATTTCACTATTCATTTTAATCACAAACATTTAACTACATACCAGTAAAGCTAAGTGCGACCAAAAATATCAACCTCATGATTATAAATTTCACCGATGTCTACGTAAATTCTGGAATGTTTCACTTTATATAAATGATGATATTGATGATTAAATCTAATCTCAGGACTATCTGTTTTGCAAAATATTAATGCGTCTTCTTAACTGATACTATATGTTGTACTATCACTTAGCTTGTACATAAGATATATTAAATTATTTTGCAAATATCTTATTTACTAATAGTTGAGTGTTGTTATGATAAAGTATGACGTACTTCTAAAAGATAAAATTAATCATCGCATTTCATCTCTTTTAGTTGATATGCTTAAAACAGAGTTTGATCTTGGAAGTTGAGTCTGTTCCTTTTCCATCTTCAAATCTTTTCTTCCGCTTAAAGATGGCAGTGAACAAACTATTTTTTTTTTCGTTAAAAGGACTTTAAAAAAATATTAAGCTCTACTATGTCCTATCACAGTATGAAAGTAGTAGTAAAGGAACTTAAGTGTATTTTATATTTTTTTAATCTTCAGTCATTTGTTGGGTCAGTGCTACAGGCCGTGTTTTTAATTTCTCTTCTTATCTTCTTCTTTTTTTTTCTTAGCTTCTGTTATTTGTGTCAGATTATTAGAAGGTCGTGGAGTTATGTTCCTCTAGTCAATTGGACCTACTATTGTCATTTAATTAATATTCATTACACAAACATTACAGGAGTTGATGTCGGGTTCCAGGTAATAGGAAAATTAGGACTTCGTTGTACCGTGTAGTATTTACAGATCGTGACGTAATAACAGTAGTTCAGAGTATTTCTCCACCTGTTGACATAATAAACTCGGTAACTATTGGGCATGAGTGTCTCAAGAGAGCTGTCGAGTTAGTTTATACTTAAAGAGGTTTAAGCACACTCAATACTCGCTCTTGTGGTTGCAGTGTAAACAGCTTGTATCAGACTTGTTTATAAGCGTAAACATAATATTTTGCTATAAAATTTTGTTTTAATTTACAGTTGATTCATTATTTTAATATTAAATTCAAATCGACTTTAAGTAAACTCACGAACGAATTGCCTCATAGTTTGTGTGTAATTTTAATACAAAATTGTGTAAATTTGAATAGATTTTTTCCATCAATATTTATTTGTGTGAAAAATAAAATCTTCTTAATATATCCAACTCACTTATCGGAATTGGTGATTTCTTGAATGTCATCCAAATCGATTCAGCAATTGCGTAGTTATAAAAGAATGCATCTAAGCATTCGCATTTATTATTTGAGTAGGAACAGCATACATTCTTGCCTTTTTTGAAAATTCTTTTAACAAGATAACGGGAAAAATAAAGACACCAGTATTTATAATTCAGCGTATATTTTTACAACATATTTTTATTTTATTGCTAATTCATTAGAACGGATGATTTCTGCCTGTGTTCACACGATATAGTCCGGTACTGAAAATAAAGAAATTGTTTAGAAACATAAGAAAAAGATTTATTAATTTCGTGTAAAAACTGATTTGACAGAATAATATTCGAATAACGGGAACCAAACAAAACATTCACGCCGTTCAATAGGCAGGCAGTTAACTACAAGGCTCTTGAAAATTGCTTTGCCTTCCCTAGCCCAAGCCTAATGATAGCAATCACTCAATATTAAACTAGAAAATTGCTCGTTAATTACATTTTATCATAATAAAAACTTACCCAGATTTGTTTAGAATATCATTTCCCATATTCAATCTAGCTCCGGTACACGAGTTTGACGAGACTTGATTCATGTTGTTGCATCGCTGACCAACTAAATGATTGTAAGTGACAGTAGCAGCGAACAATTCCCAAGAACGATTGTGGTCACAGATTCCGGTTAGGCATCCAGGTTGTGACTCTCCACCGTTGGGGAAGAAATCGGCATTACCACTCGCTGCGCCAATACCCAGTCCAATGGTACCTCCGTCGGTATGTATACCCTCGACATAAACACCGTCGCTGGCTCTGAGACGGTCGTTATTGTTGTTCCACAGTGGACCAGCGGGATCCAAACCTGAAAGATAAAAAAGAGACATATAAATAATTTATTTAATATGGAAATTGGTAGTAATAGGAAAGGAAAGGTTTTTTACGGATAGAGATAGTTGTTATTGTAACAAAGAAAAGAATCCTTGAATATGGTTATACAATCGTGACTTAATATATCTCCTTTGTGTATTTTTATAGCATAAGATAGTAAACGAGCAAGCGGCCATTTGGATTCACTGTAATAAGGCCCAGCCTATAGACATCACGATTGCAGATATCTACCTACCTTTAAACGACGAAGAGAGGACGTAAAGAAATAGAATATTACTTCTCACAATGCGTCCACTCCTCCTTCAAAACCAGGTCAGATTATACAAGTAAAGGATTATAATAAAGTGCATTTGCTTACCGGTAATACGGGCAGCTCTGCCTCCGATTTCTCTTCCAGCGTTTCCAACGAGATGGCCTCCCAAACTGAATCCAATTAAGTGCATCGTGTTGAAGGGTGCACCAACTGCACGGTTCAGGAAGTTCAGGAACTGTCCAAGACCGCGACCTACTGCGGGTACTCCTCTTACAGCGGTCACGTAGTCAGAAAGCGCCAGTCTTCTCCATTCCATGACAATTATGTTAACATCGCTCTTTGCCAAGTAAGCTGTAAATGAATAGAAGTAGAATAGATTTTTTTATCTTAGATAAAATAGTAAAGAAAAATGTGGTACCTAGTTCAACTCAAACTTTGTAGCTTAGTAGGTTTTTTGTTTAGATAAAATAAAAAATGCAATTTCAATTTTTTTAAACTAGTGGTCTCCCGCGACTCAGTCCGCGCGGGATTAAAAAATAAACATATTTAGTAGCCTATGTGTTCTTCCAGACTTTGTTCTACATGTATGCCAAATTTCAAGATCCGTTCAGCCGTTCTAGAGATACCTTAAAACAAACATCCATCTATTCATCCAAACATTCGGATTAGTTTAGTTATTAGTAAGAGTAAGGTGTAAGATAGTAAGCTGATACAATTATTTTACGAGTACGTTTTAAATAATTTGTTTGTCTTACCGTCTCTAATTACATCATTCAAGCTTGACTTCTGGTTGCTCAGCCAACCGTGGACGATGACTACGGTGGGGACACGTGCATTGAAGTTCGATGAGGTGACAGAATTGGCATCGTTAATTACCAATACTTGTGAGTTTCTGGGGTTTCGTCTGAAAAATAACAATTTCTTATCACTATACTGAACAAGAATTATGTAAAAACAGCTATCTTATCAATTGTAATTTGATTTTGAGTTTTAAAACGTGGTTGTTATTATTATATGTTTAACAACGGTTTATCAAGGATTTAAATGTGTTAACGGAAACAACGTACAAATTACTATAAGGTGAAAAAAAAACTAACTAACATACAAACAAGAAAAATGAAAAGAACAACCTTAACAAGACGTAGTGCAATAAATTGTAAATTTATAGGTTCAATACTTGTGAACAATAACATAAGTAAACATACACTTAATGTTATCGTCGGTACTATATCTTCTTTATTTTTATATTATACATTTACATACTTATATTTAGCGAGGTAATAAGAATATTGTTTTATTAGTATCATACCAGTTCATAAAAAATTATAAAATTTTCATTTTTTACGAATAAAAAATCATGTCTCTATGTATTATAATAAAATTAGTAGGGACTCATAACAGCATAAAGTTGATAACACATTCGAAAGTGATTCAAACGAAACTGTTGGCATATGTAACATATATAGAAGGTCACAATGATATAAACTTTAAAGTATTTGATATAAAACATATGATAGTTTTCGTAATAATCTTTGTTGTAATTTGTCACAAGTCAAAGTTATTTGATTAAAACTTATTTGATATTATATTATCTATGATAAAAACGTGCAGAGATAGCAGGTATGAATGAAATGGTAGAAAAAGGACCGGAAAAGAATTAGGTACGTTTTGAAATACCAACAAGTACCAGAATTTATTGTAACGTATAATAAAGCTCGCTACAAACCCAAAAGCAAAAACTGACGTGTGTAGGTCATAATCTGAACTGTACAGTTTAAAATGTGCAGCAAAAACTGAACGTAAGACGAACAAGTTTTTCCATACCGCTAAGCTTGAAGAAAAAGTTGATGATTTTTATATCAAGAAAACTGTATAATCTGTAGATGTTAAATCGTCAACTTGTTTCAAGAAATTGTAAATGTAAATATATTTTTCTTACTCTTAAAAATGTAAGCTGGTAGTTCTTGATTTGATAATGTGTTTTTGAATTGAAACAACAAATGCAATAATGACGCAATCGATGCAGAAGCATTGATATCGAATCTCTCACGTTCCATTTATCGTGATAGAGTTTTTTGTAAATCCGTAAAAAACAATGCATAGTCAATGTCAACAATATCAGAAACTTGGCACTAATTAGTATACTGATCCTTATGGATTTTTTAATAATTAAATAATGTACAATTTAATATGGTCTGCTGTCCTTTTAGGTGCGTTCCTGAGACCAATATTCCCGTTTGAAAAGTGATGACAAGGATGCCGAAATATTTTATACGATTTTGGTCTCAGAAACAAACAGTATGTGGGCTTCTATTTAATTTTGAACTAAATCTCCTGCAGTAGCCGCAAATCTTGAATTGAACCAAGATTGGCAGGGATCGCGAAACGTGGAGACCATTATTGTCGGAGACCAAGGCCCACTACAGACCTACTCGGACTCTACATAGTTGTCTTATATCGTATATTACGTAATTTAGGTTCACTTACCTGGTATAAAGAAGATATCTATTGTTGGCAGGATTTCTGTTAATCTCTTCAAGAAGTTCCATGTCTGGTTCTGCTTCTAGATCCACTGTATGCATTACACCGTCTCCATCGGGGAATTCAATGAACCGAGGATAAGCCTTTTCCTTTTTTGAAATCGGTACAGCGGCTGCGAAGGCTGGAACATTAAATATTGGCAAATTTACTCATGCGCTCTTTTGAATATCTTTGATGTTTGTTCCTAATATATTATAAAAGTAGAAATACATATATTAATTTGAATGATACAAAATAGGCCAGTAATGAACAAAATATTAAACGCCATGAAAACATGTAGAGAATATAACAATACCAAATTATGAGTTGATATTGAACACTTATATTTTACCAGGAACCTTTCTAACAATGGAATATGGCCCATCTGAGAAGAATTAAATCTGCTGACAAAAAAACAATTATAAGGTAACGTACCAGCAAAGCCAAGAGCAAACAATATCAACCTCATGATGACGAAACCCACTATTGGTCTGCGTTGTTAATTCTGGAAGTTTTCTTTTTATATTAAGAAAAAAATGAGATTTAATCTTATCTATAATTTACTATCATTGATAATTCATTGATTAGTATTATTGAGCTAGTAATTAAGAGATTTACATAATTACAAGTCTCTGATTTATGTGTTATCAACCAATAACTATTATATGTTATATAAAATAGAATGGTGCTTGTCATTCGTTATTAGTCAAAATAGAGCGCGTGTTTAAGAACGATGTCCAAATGTTTGAGCATCACCTTCATAATGTGTTTCCCAATCTCGTTTTTCCATATATTTTAAGTGACGTAAAGTTACTAAAGTGAATAATAGATTTACTGCAACCTAAGATGCAAAAACTACAATTTTTATTAATATTATTAAAGCAAACCGAGCAAGCGGCCAACGTTATGCTTTGAAATAGCAAAGCGACTGCTCAGCATAGATATCCGTGATTGTTAATGGGTTCCCTACCTTTAATCCACAGAGGAGGGAATGCAGGGGAAAAGAATATTAACCCCTCCTTATGCGATCCGTCCTCGGTTTAATCCTCACTCTCTCTTAAATACTTTCTTATAAGGAAAAATGGAAATGGAAAGAGGACTTAAATAAGGCCTATGGCAAGCAGGAACGTAAAATAATAATAATAATCGTATTATAATGTTACAAAACTGGTAAACTCATTCATTTCAAACTAGCTATAGCGACTTTTTCCTCGCAGAATTAAAAAGAAGTGAATAAGCAGCCTATATGTTCTTTCAATCTATGTTTTAAATAATGTCATCGTATTTTTGCAGTGTATTATTTGTAAATAAATAAATTTATAAGAATTGATGTACAATAAGAGTTGCAACAATAATGAATACTTTCAGAAAAATAGAGGAAATCATTGAATTGTGTCTTGTACCAAAACTTAACAAGAATTATGATGAATGCAAAAATCATTTAGAATTTGGAATTCGCAATAAAAACTTGGATAAAAACTTTTACCTACTAGTAAAACAACTGGAGGCTATTAATTTCAGAGACTGTAATAATCCCGAATCAGTTATATCACAACTATTGATATTGTATTTTGAGCTTCAAGCTTCAAGTAAAAACACGTGGGACGAAGCGAATTGTTTGAGATACGTGCAGGTTGCAGCCCAATGGATCCCCTCACTCACATCGAAAAAATGTACATACGATATTTTGACTTTACTGTTTTTTTCCTGTGTGTTTTTTTTTGTCCTGTTTTGTGTGGAATGTTTTATAATTTATTGTTATAATTTTAATAAAATAATTAATAAGTAGTATTTAAGTAGTCCCGAGCAGGGTTTGGCGTCAGGCAGGCGGCCGGCCAGTAAAAACATTTAAAGCCAAAACATTTTACAGTATGTATTACAGGGTTGAAAGACTACGAATTGCGAGTTGGAATGTTGGGACAATGACGAGCAGAGGAAGAGAGTTAGCGGAAGTCTGTAAAAGAAGAAGAATAAATGTAGCTTGTTTACAAGAAACGAAGTGGAAGGGTTCAAAAGCTCGAGAGATTGGTGATGGGTATAAATTCTACTATTGTGGAAGTGACGGAAAGAGGAATGGAGTGGGAATTGTTTTGGATAGTGAACTGAAAAATTGTGTGACGCATGTTAAGAGATTGAATGATAGGTTGATTGTAATAAAAATAATGTTAGGGGATCTGATTATGAATGTAGTAAGTGTTTATGCGCCACAGTCTGGATGTGATGAAAGTATTAAGGAAAAGTTCTGGGAAGATTTCGATTCAGTTTTAATGGATATCCCAGTAGATGAGGAATTGTATGTCGGAGGTGATTTTAATGGACATGTTGGAAGAAAGAGTACAGGGTATGAGAGAGTGCACGGAGGCTGGGGTTTTGGGGCAAGAAA